CAAGATCTTCATGCAGTGTTTGTTGAAGCCGGTCTTTTTGATCAACCAGACAAGTCGAATTTCGATGAAGAACAAGAGATGACTGAATGTGATGAACATGTCGATGATTATGACGTAGATGATCTTTTGAGAGATGCTATGTCTCATTAACGATCTTTTTGCTACATTGCTATGCTTACTGATATGTCGACTAGTGATTGTAAATGACAATCTGGTTTATATTAATCTTCAACTCACACTAATTATTTTCACTGTTCAAATACGCTTTCTGTGAGGAAAATGTCGAACGGGCTAAACACTGTTGAATAAAAGAATAATAATCTGACGCAAAATTAAAGTCATCCTTTACTTTCAACTAACGGCACATACTTTTCTGAAAATTTCTATAATATTGGCTAGAATCGATTCAAGTTTCACTCATAAATGTGCGTAGACTCAACTTTTCCGCCTTATACTTTTCTATCAAATTCATCAATTGACCGTGCACTTATGACTTATCAACATACTTGAAATGTAACAATTAGAAAGAGTCAGACTTTCACTAAATTTATAAACCGATTCACGATAAATAAATTGTCTGCATATTTACAAGTCAAATCTGCATTTATAAATCATGGATTTATTCAGAAGTCACGGATATATTTATAAATCAAACAGATTTATAAACCAATGAGAATTTATAAATACACAAAATGTTTATAACTGCCTTAAATTTCGGACGAAAAATTTATGATTTATAAATCGATTTATTTATATTGATTTATAAATGAGCATATTTCGGACTCTTCAGTGACTAAAGGCCAGTAATCCAAAAATACATTCATTCACAAGTTATATACTGAAGAGCAATCTTGAATGCTGACCTTCGATATATTGAAAGTTTTTGTACGCCTTTAAGCCTTTTAATTAAGGAGATAACCTCAAATGTTCGGACGCGGATAATTTTATCTATGAGATGCTGATGGAATGCTAACTAATTTTCGATACTTTTTAGTAGCACACTGGTAATTATATGATAGATAGGGACAGCTTTGGAGCGGCGAGTTGTGAGTGGCGCCCACGAACAACGAGCTGCGCCTGGTAATCTAGCCAGCTACCAAAGTATCAACAATCCGACACGTTCGAATGCGAAATATATAGAGTCTCATTTGGTTTTACTGAAATTATCTTTCTTTTAGAAAAAGGAGGACATGTTTAAAAGTGCAAATCCATAATAGTCATTTATAGCGAACTTCTGCTTCCTGTGAAGAATAATTGTCAGTCAGAAATATAGAATAATTAAAAGCAGCACAAGTAGTCTTTTGACTCTTTTGAAGACTGTGAAGCGAATGAAGATCAGTCTCTGGGGACCCTTTCAAAGGTTATACTTCTGTCTTTTTTTGCATAAAACGCACATAAAACTATTTTTTTCAGTCAGTGGTTCAGTCGAGGGCATAGCAAGTCTGCCTCGACGAGCGTTACTAGTTTTTACAGAGTATAACATTTTCTAATTGATATCAAATATTATTTATATTTGTTGCATCAATTTATTGAGACTGTAATCGTTTTTTTACATATTTCTAGCACTGCTCCTATTAAAACTATTCGAATTACTGAGTTTAATTACGCTTATCAAAGCAATGCAAAAATGGATCACTCCACAAATGTATTACAACGATATAGCACTAAACCAGTTGTATGCCGTCAAAAATGTCTTTAATTATGCGTTTTATTGCGTTAATATAATCAACAGTAAAAAATTATTTATAATTGAGATAGTCAAAACGGGGCTATGGTATGGAAAAAGTGCGATTGCTAAAACGCGTTTCTTCGGAGATTTTTGACGATCGCAAATGCTTTAAAAAAGGAAATAGAACATTTCTTAAAACTCGTTAATTTCATATTTTTGGCTGCACGGGTAGAAAACTGCTTTTAACTTCATTGGTAGACGTATCTAATTTTTAAATAATTTTTCTCTCATTTTGCTTATTCTAGCGGTCTTTTAATGTTTTCAAGCGTTTTCTTCATAAATATAATCGCAGATAGATTTTAGTCATGCATGAATAAATAGATTGAGTAATTCTGTGGATGATTATGCGCACTCACAGTGGTGCTTGTGGCGACTACAAGAGCCATATTGAGTGGCTGTGTTTATGTGTAGGTCTATTTTAACCCACGTCATATGTTTCCAGAGTATTTTCTTCAAGAAAAACTTGACCTAAACACATGACTCTATAAGTCAAAAATATAGATTGCGTAATTCTGTGGGTGGTTGTGTTCAAGAGGTCCATTTTTTAATGTGTGTTGATGATTTGTTTCTCTAAGTCCTCTTAAAAGTCGGTAGGCGTAGGCAGTTATGAGTATAACTCATCACACTGTAGGTGGGTGTGAGGAGAACCGTCATGATATCTGAAAAAGTTGGGTGGTTGAGTTGGTTGCTTAAATTACAGATACCCAACAAAAGTTGCTAAAAAGCTTTTAGTGTGATCAACAATGAAGATAAGTTCTATCGCATGTATTTTCTGCTTCCTCGAACAACTCTTTTTTTTATGCCTCATTGCATAGACTTAATCTTCTCTAATGGGAAAGCACGTTTTAGACGATGCGCAATTACTCTGATGCTCATCGTATAAGCACTCACAGTTCCAATCTATTTACGTCTTTTTACGGTCATTTCAGTGGTTGCATGTTCAAATACATTTCTTTTTTCGTAATAAAAATGCCGACGATAGTGCGTGTTGATAATAAGATACAGCATAATGAAGAATAACGTTAGTCAGCCGTATTTCTTGTGGCTCTACTAATGAAATAATCGTTTCTAAAATAAAAAATATCTCTCGTAGCTTTGAAAGGACATTCATTAGAAGGCCTACGACATGAGCATGGCATAAAATCTTGAATAAAGACAACAGATAAATACGAGCCGATGGGCATCATTTAAATATTTACACGGGACGAGAGTACGTCTGCTTTTGATTCCAAATACTTACGCTGAGAGTGGGGGTTAAAAAAAACAACTTTAAAAAAGAAAAGTTAGAAGAAAAAGAAAACGCCGACTTTTTCTAACTATCTTGTATTATCATTGTCAAATGATGTATTCGTATATTCGTGACATAGTCTGTCGCTACTTTAAATTTGCGAAGAAGATCGATTGTTTTTGGTTAGATTATGATCAATTAATCAGGCAGTTTCGAGATTATTTGGATATATAACGAAGACAAGATAGACAAGAAAGAAGCTTTTTGATTGGGCAATCCGCTTCGTTGATCAATTGCTTTCTCTCGTGCTCTCGCATTTTCTCTAAATCACTCTCTTGTTAAGGGTATATAATCTCGAGTTTCATCAGAAAAATATAGCATGTCATTGCCTTCCCTTTTAAATCAACATCAGTTGTTGTTCGTATAAATGATGTAAGTAGCCTAATCTGTCTTGTATTAATTCCCTCGACTGAAAGGAGGTCGAAGGTGAACTTCCAAAATCCAGTATATAGGACCAAACATCAGTGGTATAAGCGAGCGAAACATTTTTTCGTAGATATTCAAGAATCAAAAATACAGCGTTTGGTATATTCTTAAAATATTCTCATCCTTCGTGCTGAAATTCCAGTAAGATGTATACGACTCTGGACAATAGCTATAAGGACACCTTTGCTTTCAGGGGTTTCATATACCCACTTGAGGTCTACCTATTGCCGAAAGATGGAGTCTAAATGGCTTGGACATCTAAGTACGTATCGTCGTAAGTTTTACTTTGTAAAATTGCATCGATTTCTATCCGGTTGAAACTGAAGAACGATCAGCTCGATTTGATTTAAATTTGGAAAAGTATGAATATTGTCCTGTCCCGATCCTACTATGTGAATCTTCTATTAAAGAAGACCATTCGATTTAACTTTTCTCACACCTAAAGCAGTAAAATGTTTACGCTTCCTTTCACACCTTGATAATCTCTATAGCTTATTATTTTAGAAAACAACAAAATAATTTTAAACACGTTTAGTTATTAAATCTTTGTCTATTTGCAATATGTCACCAACAAATGATAGTATTGCTGCAACCGCCACTGCAATTACTCATAGTATGAGCTTATTTTACCAATATTGCAGCATAATATACTTGATTCTTGGTATTGCGGGTCACTCATTAAGTATTTATGTGTTCACCCGTGGACAACTTCGTCGAAATCCATGTGCTCGCTACTTTTTGGCAATGAGTATAGCTGGTTATTTTGTTGTTTGTGGCAATATACCGTTACGACTTCTTCAAATTTCCTACGGGATCGATGTATTCACTGTTTCACTTCCACTTTGTCGATTTTTATCGTATCTTCTCGTTTGTACCAGGTAATTCTAGTGGTGATTGATGAGAAAAAGTCAATAGGATGCTTTGATCTTTTAGAACTCTTCCTTCATGGTTTGTTGCCTTGTCATGCATCGATCGGTGAGTTTTCACGTAATAGAGAGCAGTATTGACTCAAGGACAAAATGAAGGATAAGATTTTTGGAATACGATTTTTTTTCTTTCGCACATGAAAGTGTTGAGATCCGATTTTTATGTAGTCAAAACGTTCTATTTCAGACCCAAGTCTAATAGTATTACGATGCGTGAAAAGAATCGTTTCCGATACAGGAATCTTTGATCTATACATCGGGGCACTTGTTTTTGTTAACAATGGATGTAATTAAAACAAATGGCTCATTGGTACGGTGTTACCCTTGAGTCTGAAACAGAACACTTTGATCCGTGCACATATCTATTTGGGACAACGAATAATGCAAAGATGTCAATGTGAGAATGAGATGGCAATGAAGATGCTATTCTTTTAATTCTTCTCTTACTCACATTCTATATGAACTGAAGAATTATGTGAACAGTTGCTTCGAGAAGTACTCTACTGCTTGCTATAGCCAGAAAACCAGTTTTCGATCAATCTATGAAACTAGTTCCGTGTGGTGCTACACAGATTAATATTTCTTGAAATATCAGCCATTTCGAAATTAGTTAAACACAAGGACACGCGATACAAGTAGTAGTCTCGATTGCTATTGTGATTATTGAAAGTGTACGTGTTTCTTATTCGATGAATAGGGCGTGTTTAAACTAATATTAATATCATTATTTCTATTTCTCATAGATTTCTTTGCAGTTCACCATCAGTAAAATTTCGTGGATGGAGTAGCATTCGTGTTGCTTCGCGTGTCATTTCACTTACAGTGCTGGTTATTACTATCATTTATATTCATATGCCATTTTACATCACGATTACTCAGCCGCAAAATAACTGTAACATCGCATCAGCATCGTATTCTGCGTTTTTTAGCATGTGGAATTTAGTTTTCTGGAGTTGGATTCCAAGCTTCTCTATGCTTATTTTCAGTGTTCTCGCCGTTCGACATGTTCATCAGGCAAAAAGACGGTTGGTACCTGCAAATAATCCGAATGAAGTTCAAAACCTAACAAAAAAGATAGATCGACAGTTGATTCGAATGACGCTTGTTCAATCTCTTGTGTTTGGCTTGACAACAACTATCAATTCCCTAGTTAATCTTTATTACGCACAAACATCAAGCGCAACAGATGATGCTATTAAACGTGCTATAAAAAGCTATGTAGTCAATGCATCCACTTATATAGCTCTTATTGGCCCATGTCTGGCATTCTATCTATTCACATTGTCGAGCCAATTGTTCCGCCAAGAGCTATTGAAGTTATTTCGTTATCTGATTTGTCGACAAGCAGTACCAACTGAAAGGGACACAAATGGAAGCATTCCGCAGAGAATCTAACTAATAACTTTTTCGAGGACAGACTTTAGCCTAAATATAAAGCCCTGTCAATCATGCGGCGTGAAAAATCTCTTCAACAACCACTATTATCAATTTCTGAAAAAGCATACTGTATCAATCAAGCATAGCTGATTCTGCAACATACAAACCTCAAAGCCTTTAGAACCTGAACAATGAATCATTTCCGTCGCCAAAGTTGAAATTTTCAAGGAAAATATAACGAATTTTGCAAAACAAGACCTTCTAGGATCAGGTGTTGTTCCTCTCACGAACACACAAGATATGAACTTTTGTTGCATTTGTCATAACATAAGGAACGTTAACATCTTTATATTTAGAGTGGTTAACTGTATGTTTCATGTGACATATTCCGATTGTTCTCTACCCTTTGTTATTTATTGTTTGTCATGTTCATCATCATTTCAGGCTTGTAATCGGGCTCGCTGATCATTACCGTTTTTTATCGATCCCTTTTCGATTTTGTGAACCCCTTAAAATCACTAAAAACTACCGATTTAACCGTTCATTAACAGTTTTCATCGTGTTGATTGTGAAAAAATACCGGCTTTTACGTTTCCGTGTGATAGGCTTACGACTTTCCAGACCGACTCCAACTATGGTATGCTTCCTCTCCATTTAAAAAGCCAAGACTGCAATTTAAATTTAACATTGACAAGCTATTCAAAATACCAAGGGGTGTTTCCATGGGGTTTCTCCCACTTTATACAGAAGGGTTTCCTTTCAACGCGAAAATGTCAGGGTTTGTAGAGCTCGACAAGACGATCATTTTGATCTATTTGGATTTCACCAAATGTCGCGGCATCGCCGACCATCAGAACTCAACTTTTCAAGCTTTTTTCATACAAAAATGCACTAGTGGCTTTTGAGACATTTCTTTGTGGACCATTATTTTCCATAGATTTTCTATCTGGAATTTTTTCAAATAGGCTACTTTTGTTCAGCTTCGATTGTACTTTCTGGAGCTGTGTTGCTTTGGGTTCCATAGCTTCTCCAGAACGAGCGCGGGCTCATAGATCTCCGCAAATACCCCTTAAAATTACTCGTAAATGGCTGGACATTTTCGCCAATAGAAGGCCAGTTTTTGGAATTCCCAGAATAAGAGACATATAGGAAATGATAGAGCACAACTTGCTCTACAAAGTGGTATACTCAGTTACTCGGGGAACATCGAAATTTTGGAATGGTAAAGAGAGAAACTTCTATGCGTTTTGGCGTATTCTTTTTCGGTTTAGTCAGCTTTGGTACTCTCAAAACCGGAAGATTTCGAAGGAATGAGCAGTGAGCTATGTTTATCAAGTCCAATTAATGAGTTCTCACTATAAAAAGAATAGTTACCATGCCAATTTGATGATGATGAGATTATTTTACTCTTTTAGAACACGATTAAAGCGAGATCTTTTTTAACTATTTCTTTTTGCATAGAATGCTCTTATTTCTGAAGAGCTCAGATGTCTAACATATGGAAATTGTCTTTCATGGACATTAGATATACACAAAAACTTTTGTTACAGCGGCGAATTGCTTAGGTGGCTGTTTCCACATACTAAGCTTCCGTATTCTATACCTGCTCAATGTGCACCAAGTGGTGAAGCATATTGGAAATACCTGTTTGAAATGGTGAGACGTATTGGAAGGAAGTGATTGGTTGACCCTAAATGTTGTGTTCCGACGAACGTGATGGTTTTAGTAGAATTTTTCACACTAAACACAGAAGCGCAATGAGGGCGATATATCTCACTGTACCCGCTGAAAATTCATCTCAACGCAACGCAGCGGAAGCTGACTAATCATCTTCATTCACCAACAAAGGCATTAAATACAACCACATTTCCGTGCTGGTATTCTAATTTTGCGACTGCTAAACCTGACTAAACCG